TCTATATCTCCATATTGTATAGGCCATTCTAATTTCAAGGCCGAGTTTAGCGTATTAGCCACATATGTTTCAAATTGTCCATAATGACCTGCTTTCGGTATTCGTTTGCAGCCATGCAGTAAGATACAGTTCCTCCTCCCATATTGTTCTAAATTATTGATTGCGATTTCGTTTTTTGTGGCGCTTTCTTTAATTTGTTCAACTATTTTGGATAAACTTTCAAGTTTATTTAATATGCAGCTAGATTTGTCTTCCAGGGCGGCGAGCTTGGTTGCCGGAAGATTGGGTACCGGTACCGGTGGACTAATGTTGTTGACCTCCAAGTTTGGCCTTCTAGTACTTCGCTTAGGTCCATTGTCAATTTGGGTTCTTGCCGGTACTTGAACGTTGCCAGAATTTTTCATCTTGGCTAATTTGGTTTCCACTTCAGCCCTGGCTTTTTTTTCCTTTGCAATATCTTGTTGTAGTTCTATCTGTTGTTTTTGCAGGCATTGTAAAGTCGCTAGCACCTCTTTCATAAGTTGACTTTGGTTGTTGGTTGCTTCGATATTATCCATGTTTTTTCACGTAGTCCGTTGTTTGTAAGTACAGGTTTATAGTATTGTTAGATTTAGCTAGAACGATGGCCTATATTCAGCAGCACGTCTAAATTTTAATTATACAGCGAATACAGTACAGTACAAAGCAAGTATTACAAACTTCAAAGAGACCATAAGTAAGACACAGTCTTGATTTGAATTAACAAAGCGGCCCTCAACGAACACAACACCTGCAACACTGAGTTATAATAACAATAGATTAATAATAACAAAAGCAGAACTTTTCCATGCATTCAAAATTCATCCTATTTATTGCAATTTATTTATTTTCCCCTATAATATATTGTTTGCTTCATACCAGTTGTATGTGTTTTATTATGGTGCGTCAACGCTCATGGGTTAATCGAGGTTATTGACTCATAACAAATATTTTTATCCGTGGAAGACGAAAGCCGTTTAAACGGCTCAATAATACGAGTGATCTAACGATTACCAGTCCGCCTCTGTTAGAAATTAGATAGCCATCTATTTGCTCTAAATACTTGGACTCAATCGCGGAGGAAGCCGTAGCGGACCAGCAGTTACGTTTGTGGAAATAAAAACTCTCTCTCTCTCTCTCTCTCTCGACAAACTTTCGGTAGTGGGAGAAAATGGTGCGAACACCTAAAATATTCTCGCTTCTCGGTGGAACTAATCATCTTTGTTTATACTTCCTTGTTGAGACCTGCATAATACATATTTGACTAATTTTTATGCAAATAGGGTTGACGGTGACCTTTGTTTGCGCATTCTGTGGCAGGTATGCGGCAACTTGTGTTAACCAAACAACAACACTGAAATTTTGACTCATAATTGGACACGTAGTGGACATAACTATCGTTTCAATATTATGTTGTTCTTGTTGTTCTTGTTATTTGACACAGAGTAACACACCTAATGGAAATATTAAAAAACCGCTTTTCTCTCCGAATACTGGACCAATTACCTTGAAATTTTCAGTGGTTGAAGATAAAAATTTTCCCCAGAGGGCTATCTTTTTAAATATTTCTGTTAGCTCTGTGAGATTTGTTTTTGTTTGCTATGACGTCATTAAACGTTCTGCGGACATCGGACGCCATTTTGTGTCCTACTGTACTACTTCGCTTGGTGTTAATATATTTGTAGACTATGATCTGACGGTACGGTAAACCGTACTGTACTTCGAACAGACGTGTCCATATATTTGGGCGTAGCTCTCTTGTTTATATCAATGATTCGAAACGTATCAATAAAAGTTCGGTTTCTTCACCGTTCTCGTCGATATTTGTTGCTTGAGTTCACACTTGATTAGTAATCATCACTGTTACGTCTTCGCATCATGAAGTATTTCAGCGTAGCCCAATAAAAAAATAAATTTTATGCCACAAGTTTTTCAAAAGCTTTAGTTGCACGGTATCTCATGGCTGTTTACTGGCGCACAACGCTCCACCATAATTGTATATGATTTCAATGATGGCCAATTGGCCAGTGCTTTACTCAGTTATGGGACAATAAGGAGCGGACGTAAACGGAATAGTTTTAAAATTCTGAGGTTAACAAACCAAAAGACGGACGTATGTGAACTTCTTTCTTCTTGTAAACATGAGTCGCATGGTTTTTCAAATTAACAGCGATTTCTTGTATATATTGCTTTTATGATATTCATTTCATTGACAACTCTCATAAGAAGCCATTTCACGATATTTGATTAGGAAATGATCCAACATTTTTTACAGGCCGTATCTCTGCTATATTATGTATGTACTTGAATATGTTATTGCGGCAGCTTGTTTTCTAGATCGACTACCTTTTTATTGAATTCATTAGCTAGAACCAATAAAATAAGATTACGGCGATGTAATAGTAGAACTTGACCAGTCACATTTCACATTGGAACTTTCAATCATGGTTGTAAATACTTACTAGTTTCGCTAATTGGAGTTTATTTGGTAGATTCGAAAAACGATCCCGAGAATAAAAAAGACGAAGTTAACATATTATTTTGATTTTGTGAGTTTAGCAAAGATCAAGCAATCATTAGTAAACCCACATGTCATGAAATGGGAGAAATAGAATTTAAAACTGAAAAATATTAGAAAGTTATTTTAATTTCAGAAAAGTGAATAGTAAAATTTTTGATCTAGAGTTCCGTATTTTCATAAATATGTTTTACTTTTTGTCACAATAACATACTATATTTATAGACGATTTTCATAATGAGTTCTTCCGCGATATTTGATTTGGGATGTTCGAACATTTTATTTTATATGCCATATTCCAGCTACGTATTTGCTCGTTTTGTAGCCCGGGCCCATATTTTTTTAACCAAACTCACTAACCGGGCCCTCATTCAAGCACGGGCGCTTGTTATTTTTAAAGTAAAATTATACACAAAAATTACGGTATCTTTGAAGACAAATATTCGGCGACATTAATCCCTTTCCCATGTCAATTTATTCACGTCAAACGCAAATTATTCACGTCTTAAGAGCAATTCTCTAAATTTTTCTACGCACCGCAGGTACAAATCCGCAAAAGAAGAAAAGTTTTGCGACGCTCGATCAATATCGAAACGACGCACTTGTGCGTCGCGACACCCAGTTTAAGAACCACGGTGTTACGTAATCAATGCTATCTGGTATGTAATTGAACGCCTAAGGCATGAGTGTTATTTACCGGCGCTTAAAATTCAACAGCGTTGTGACAAAAGCTTCTTATTTCCTATTGTTCTCTACCACTGAAAAATCAGCTTTTACATCGGGCTGGTATTCAAGCACAGGCCCTTATTCATTTTTATGTTCTGTTCACACGGGCGGCTATTCAAACGGGCCCTCAAACGTTTCCCTAATTTCAAGTTATTAGGCAGTTTTCAGTGAAAATTCCAAAACGGCCTCGAGAATGAAACAGTGGAAGCTAAAATGTCATTTCAATTTTGCGAGCTTTTTAAAGATAAAGCAATCATCGGGGTAGAAATCGAGGTATGAATCCGTCTACCACATGTACAGACTTCATGAAATGGGAGAAATAGAAACTTTTTTAATCTCGGAAAAGTAAATGGTTTGTAAAATTTTGGATTCGGGATTCCGCTTCTTCGTGAATATGTTTTTAATTTTGGTCGTAATAACAAGTTTTTTTTAAAGTGCAATCGTCTTTTCCAAGTACAACAGCAATAAATTCCTACTTGATACCAAAGAAACAAATTTTCGATGAAAACCAAAGCAATCCTCCAAAAAGACATGGACAAATTAATAAATTCGTTTTCTAAGTTCTCTCACAAAGCAAGCTTTGAACATTTGGAATGCAGTGAATCAAACAGAATTAATTTAAAATATGTGATAAAAAATACTAACCAGCAAATTTTCAAATCAGTTAAAAAATGAAGAAGCATGGTAGTTAATGAAGAAGCATGGTAGTAAAGTATTGATTGCATATGTACGATAAAATATACAGCAAAGATGAAATTATTTTAAACCACAACATACATACGGCGTGAATGCAACTTATTATGTAAGTATTTTGCAGATAGCACTAAAAAAGGTTTGTTTTAAGGAAAACTATATTGAATATATTATATTATGCAGTAAAAGGCATCTGCTAATTTATAAATTGCATTCCATTCAATGTTTTTAATTACAAAATGATAAGTGAATTCAATTGATGAAGAAACCGCTTGAAGAATGCACGAGACAATATATCATACCCAGATAATATCGAATGGCATTGAAAACTGAATAGAAATAATAAATCAATTTAATTTTTACTGGCCACTGGCTATATATAACACTCGCTTCCAATGACCTATGATATTTGGTGACAAATTTTTACCATAACAAGGATATAGAATCCCACTCCATTCGCCAAAAATTAACTTTAAATGATAGGCAAGCCAAATCAGGGCTGAGGAGTCGAGGCCAATGTAAGATTTATAAACTCTGTTTTCCTGTCGTTGAGAGCAGGAGTCAGAATGTCCATCAACCAACAATCGTTTTTTATATGGGCATCGATTCTGTCCGACTACACACTGTCATAATCGGAATTCACATAAAAAAAATGCTACAAACAAATATAGGATATTTAATAACACAAACAAATCATTTAAAAAAAATTCTTCACATCAGTAGTAAACATAGCTATGTCCAGTGAGTTGAAATTTTTTAGGCAATGTCATTGAGTAATTACATTTAAGAAAACTATATAAATTATTTACGGTAAGCAATGCAAGAAATCATTATAGAAGTTTAAAAAATTTACTCAGTGGTAACACGAGCACCTATTAAATGTCAAATATCTATCATACAATTTCATAATAGTAAGATTACAAACATAAACTACTAGTATGTCCTTAAATGGTAACACAAGGAACTGTTCTCTGTTATATACAATCAAATCACTTTCAAATTAATCTTCACTGCACCGAGTATCCTCAGATTCTGGTTCTTCATGTCAATCATCTCCCATCGATTTCTTCTTGAAATCAAACTTCTCCTGCTTCCGTGAACTGTAAAACATACAGAGAAGATTATTCAGTTCTACAGACAAATAATTTGTGAAATGGTTGTTAGGGCTACTCAGGAAAAAAAGATTTTCAAATTCTATATTGACTCGACCTTATATAAAAAAAGTACGAATGACGCAGGTGGGAGACTCTGATTAAAATTACTAGTCAGCAATGTGATTATACTGCTTCTTCTATCCGCACAAAGAGCTCAAACCAAAAGCGATTATCTATCCAGAGTTATGAATATATTCACAAAATATAAATATTTCAGTTTATTTTCTGTGAGCATCGACAATATAGACACTGAATTGGTACAACACCTATAGTGATGAATACAGGGGAACAAATATTTCTTTGGGAATAAGTATTTCAGAACAAAATCTCCAAACAGAAGCCCCTAGCCGGGGTGCCCAAACCAGGGGTCGCGACCCCAAATTGGATCGGAGTGATAAGTGGGTAGGGTCGCAAACAGGTCACAGGGTCGGTGGGGTCGCTGAGATGTGATAAAAATTTATTAAAAGTGATTATCGGAGTCGCATAACAAACATTACCTTGGAAAATTCTTTGGTATGCTGCCTGACATCATACATCCCCAGATACAGAAAATTGATTAAAATTAAACAGTGACCATTCCCAATGAAAGAAATTTCAATTTTAAAACTTTTTTTTTTCGTAAATTTCGGTATTTTTAATTAAAATCGAAAGTTTTAAATGTTTTTAGCTTATTTTACTTGATACCACCACATGACCAAACTCAAAAGTTCAGTGACAGAATCTCTAAGTTACATGGAAATTATATATATTGACCTGGGGCCGCACTGGACACTTGAAAGTTGTCTTTGGGATCGTCCTGAGAAAAGCTTGGAAACCCCTGCCCTAGTGCTACCATGTTGTAATAAATTCCAATAACTCTACCTGTTCCTTCCTCCAACTGCGTAAATATCTGAATCAATCACAAAAGCACTAAACCAGCTCCGCTTCGTTAACATGGGAGTTACCGTGGACCACACGTTTGTTGAAATATCATATCGTTCAACAGTTGACAAGTGATGTTTGCCATCCACCTGAATAAAATAAACAGTTTGTTAATCTGCTTGCAATTTTGCCAAAATGATACAAAACAATGTTTATCCATCTTTTGACAATCTCACCTACACAAGACAAAGCAATAAATGAATAAAAATGGAATAGTGAACTAACATGATGGCAGGTAACAACTGCAAGGTGATGAATATAATGCGGAAAATTTTACTAGCCTGAACTGAAGATTTTGGAACTTGTTCAGTATGTCTGAATATCATCCAAATTTCAACTACATATACGTCGTTACAGCCGTCTCAGTATCTAGTAAGGGCGAAACATTACCAAATGTATTTATGAGTTTACAGTTTACACGGCAATTGGATTGACCTTTGCATTCGTGTAAATATATAGGTATACAAACATTTGAACATGATTAGTCACATCACAATATAATTCTGCAATTTTGCAGAATAACATGTTTGGAATATTAGTAGTTCATGACGATGCTTAAACATAATGGCATTGCATTTGATATCTTGAAGCACGGTCATTGAAATATTCTGGTTAATTGCTATTTTAAGTGAAACTAAATATTTTTTTTTGAGTCCTCGCTCGTACATTTTTAGCAACAAACTCCAACATACCTAGAACATATATTTTTCCTTCATTTTCAACAGCCGCGACATCGTCTTTCGCTCCATTCATGGATGCAACAAATGACCAAGTTGATGATGTTGGGTCAAATCTTTCTACTTTGTTTGTGTAACAACGTGTTACAACTCCACCAATGCTGTATATACAACCTGGAATTAACAAGGATTATTACTTTCAAGTGTTTTCTGCATTCTGGTATTCGATTAAAACTTAGGACAAACCGATGAATTCGATAGCTGCTGGAAATCTTTTTGTTATTTACCTTAAATGCATTGCAAGTTTGCTTCAAAAAACACCTTGTGAAAGCTACCACTGATACGAAACAACCTACTGGTCTGTGAAAAAGGGAATTTTTTCCTGTTTGGTTTAGACCAAGGGTTTGCAACAGATAAAGCTATTTAGTAACCGCAACGTTATCTAGTGTGGCCCTTGTCAACACTAAATTTTTTTTCCAACAAGAGTTAATCCGACAGTATCTGTTTAAAAGTCACTCACATGGGTACAATTACATGTTTTTATGATCTTTTTGATGCGTTAAATACTCCGCCGTTTTGTCCGATGCCTTCATTACTTACTTTAAAGCAGAGCATTTATTGGTCCAGCTAGATTTCTGAAGTTGTTTATATGGTCCAGCGACAATTCCAATTATTATCCTGTTGTATGTCTGCCTGTTTCGAGTCAGTTCAATGTATATGACATTTTTTGGCGCTCCCGAAGTATGTGAACTACGATGGCGGACACCGAAACTTAGTATGTGTACCAGGTTACGGTTAGGCCATAATTTATTCCAATTTTCCCTATTTTAGTTCTATTACGAGTTTGGGGACTAGTCATGTATTTGTACCTGAAATTAGGGCCTAATTCTAACCTGGTACACATACTACGATCCGGTGTCCACCATCTTGGTTCACATACTTCGGGAGTACCCCTTTATTTGTAAGACACCTTCTAACCTCTAGCACCCAGTGCTGTTGAATAACGACTGTTGAGATTTTTGTCTTTTACTTTTTCCCATTTGTTGCTTGATGGCTCGAACATTTCAACTGATTTTGAGTAATTACCGAAAGAACCAACAACGTAGAGGTTTCCTGTAAACAATTCATATCTCAGACCAATGGTAGAAAGCAAATGACACTTGAAAAATAATAGAAGATAAAGTAAAGAACTATTTGTCTTAAGGCAAAGCAAACGTTACTCGTGGTATTTATACAAATATAAACTATATCATAATAATAGATAAGACAATAGAAATGGAAGACAAAACATCGACCAAGAATAAGAAACGTTTACATAGGATATATACAAACACAAATAAATTACTGATCTTAAAACAGGAGTGTTAGTGTATTGTATAAAAACCACAAGTCCTTTCAATTCCGGATAAGCGTGTTTTAGCAAAGTAACTCAATCCTAAACATTTTGGCAACTCAGTTTTGCCTCAACTCAAATATATGATCTTACGTAACTACAACATTTCTTACACAGATAGATGTGTTATAATTCTTCAATGGTGTTAATATGAAAATATAATTTGCATTTGTACACTTTGATTAAGTGACGAGTTTTACAAATCAGAAAAAAAATCAGTATTTTGTGCACAAATTTTGGGTCACCCACAATGAAGTGATATAGTTACAATACACGACTGAACTGGAATTAGATACCCAATGATCTTAAAATATGTTTTCCATTAAATTCTTAAATAGAACAGTACTAAGAATTCTTGAGGTAACTTCACTCCAAACATGACAGCAACAGATATTTGAAAAACTCAATTACTAGCCGTTTGGCAGAGGTAACAAGATATTGTTTAGCAAAAGATTTTTTGAAGCAATTTTTACCAGACAAAACAGCAACAGGAGGATACTCTCCATGGTTATACATCATATTATTCATTCTCTCCCAAGTAGCTTCACGATCTGAGTATTTCAGCCGATGGACAGAATGATTAGGCATGAGAACATAAATGTAGTCACCAAGAGCCACAGCAGAAAAGTCAGTTCCTGATCCAGGCAAGTTCTGGAAAATTTCAATAAACAATATTGTATTGAAGAAATCGTTGTCAAATGTAGATACGGATGGATGGGTGTGGCGGGATGAGAGAATCTAATCCCACTCAAGTATTTGTCCTAAAAAGGCCTTGTCCACGGGTGGCACTTCATGTCAAGCGTTAGGAATGCGCTCTCAACCTCATCTCTAATTACCCTGCGTGGGGTCGTCGGTTAAAAATTCATGACAGGATGGTTATGTGCAGGAGAATTGCTGGACTCATGGCCGATGTAGGGTGGTTCACGTTACCGCTGGTCGGTTACGGCTTCTTCCACTTACTAATCCCATGCCAGACATGGACCGGTAAACGGACAAGGCGCCATGGTTAGCC